TTGGGCTTTCTGCAGACCTTCAGTAAAAGTGTGTGTGTGTGCGTGTGTTATTGAGGGATACACTCACCTTCACCCATTTCCTTGACCCACTTTCAGTGCCATCTCTACTCCACCTCCTTATAGCAAAGGCAAAAAAAAAATCCCATTTAAATCCTCCCCCCTCTAACATTTCTGACCTCTCTCTCTTTTACACACACACACACACACACACACACACACACACACACACACACTGCATGTTGTCCTCTTTCTGGCTGGCTTCACCACAGAATTTGGACAGAAGAGTTGAATTATTCAGTAAGACCCCCTCCTCCAAAACACACACACGCTCATGCACACACAGCTATCCATCCATCTTTAGGACTCATATAGACTGAAATCGAGGGGGAACTCCCGATTTATTCAAGTAAATTGAGGCTTTTGTCTTTGCCTACTTCATTTAATTGTTGTTTATATATTTATATTTCACATGCATGTGTATACCCCTCTTTTGAACATTACATAAGCTTTGCGTCGACAAGGCAGGATTTCTAATCCCTTCTTGCAACAATAAAACAGATCGTTATATTTTCTACACATAATTGAGCCGTGATTAGCGGAGTAGAACAGACACTTGAAGGGCCTCTAATTACTCTAAATCATAAATTACACTAACATTTACATCTCACCACTGAGTCATTCAGAAACTAATGCCCCTGACACAGTGTTGTTGCATATCTGAGTTGCATTTCTGCAGCATAAAAAGATGTTATGCAAACGGCGCTACTGCTGCTGCGTCGCTTTTCTATTCGTATGGATCTGAACCACATGCACTTTAGATTGTTGTTGAATGAGGCGGCACTGAATTTTTTTTTTTTTTTTTTTTTTTCTGGCACAACTTGGACACACCACCACTGTTTATTTGCATTGCATAAAAAGGCACACAAGCTTTTATTTTCAGTTTTAGTTCAGTTGGGCTTGAAGTTTTTACTTTTTGAGCCATGTTCTGAAAAAAACTAAAGTTGAAGTTCTTGGATGTAACGCTGACCGTTACATTGGGGAAGCTTGCAACCCCATCCCGACTGTGAAGCACGGTGGCAGTAGTGTCATGCTGCGCAGGAGTTTTGCTTTCACAAGGAACGACTTGGATATGTTGAAGCAACACGGGTCTCTGAAATGGATAGCAACTCCGTTAGCTTACTACCCAACGGTTTAAAGGTGGTATCAAGCTGCCTTTGTCCCGCCCCAACTCTGGGTGGTGAGAAATATAATATATTTATATATATTATATATATATAAATATATTATATATATATAATATATATATATATATATATATATTTTTTTTTTTTTTTTTTTTTTTTTTCCTTCCTTTTTTTTGCCTTAAAAAAATTAAAAAAAAATGGAAAAAAAATCCTGACACAAAGGGATCCTAATTCATGCATGAAAGGGTTAAAGTGGTAAGCCGAATCAGTGATGACGAAGGGTTTGTAAATGGACTGAACTTATATTTTTTATGTATAAAGTCGGCTGCAGGATTTAAAATTCTAAACACGATTGACAAAAATGTGATGCTGAACTAATAAACACATTTTGGTAACACCACCTGAAGCAAACCGGGACAGTTTGGCCTGATTTAATGTCACTGAGACAAAAACAAATTCTAATTTTAGTTTTTATTACATCTTTGGTTTCAACTGCGCCTGTGATGTTGTCCTGTTTATGTTCGCCCGCATGTGAAAATAAATGTATTTACATGCAAATAAGCTGTAATCTAATCATACAGGTGTGATTTCTAATGGCAGGAGTCAGTAATAATCTGTAGGCTTCTCTGTTTACATCTGATGCATCTCAATAGCAGGTCTGACTGGTGAGCAGGTGATGGAATATTAATGAGAATCATTGGTTGTCAAAGGGGTTGGATGTGAATTGATGGATTTTAAAACATCCTGCTGAAGATGATTGTTTTATTTAATGAAAGAACACATCAAAATACCACAAAAATATTAAATATTGAAGGGGGAAAGTGTTTGTCTTGGGTAAACCGACATATGTAAACATTTATAATTCTGACTTTTCGAATGTTACGTGACGACAAAAGAGCAACATGGTCGAAAGACACGCAATCAGCTAAATCTATACCATATACAATATTTTTATTTTTCCCCTGCCTTTGTCTCCTGACGTTATTTTTCCTCTTTCGACAGTAAATCCCCCTCTGCATTGTTATTTTGGTGTGTTTTCTCTCCGTAGGCCAGGCTTATCAAACACACCCTAAAGTATTTATGCCAAAATCCCAGTGTGCTTTCCACACGAGGCCCAGCAGGTGGCCGCACACAGACACACACACATTTCAGTGGTAAAGTCCTGAGGGACAACAGCAGAGAAAGTGTATTTATTAAAAAAAGAAAAGAATAAGTGTCCTTGATTCATATGGAATCAAAGGGCTTCTTTTCTTTAGGTGATTTTCTTTAAACCTGCTGTTCCTTCAGCATCCACCCATTTTCACCTCGTGGCATCACATCAATAGAAACGCAGACATGCTGGATAGATTAATTTTTCTGCTGCTCATGCGTTCTCCTTCACTGATGAATGTTCAGCTTATAACACAAATGTAATTTCATTCCCCATCGCTGTGCAACTGGAAGTTTGTCTTTTTTAATCTTTAAATACTTGACACTGAGCCTAAACCAGGAGGAACGTTTCTGTTGCTGCAGGTTTTTTACGTGTTGCTTTTGGAAAAGTAGGTTCTAGACGGGCAAACGAATAAACTTATATTAAAATGCGACGGGCAAAAGATTAAAGTGATACATGAGACTGAAGCCTGTTAAACAGATGACTGAAACTCAAACGCTTTGAGAAACTTTGAGGATTTAAGGTCTTTCTTTTTTCCTTTTTTATATTGGAATATCCAAACCAAACACCATCTAGTACTGTAATGTCCTTAAGAATCCTCTAAAAGAAGCAATGAGATGACACTGTTATGCCTATATATTTAAAATTTTCTATAAAAATGTTGCTGATGAACATTATCTTCTTGTTTTTTAAGCAGAGATGCTTACTGTGTAGGACGAGGACAGGAGTCGGTGTAAAGCATCTGCAGCAGCAGAACGCAAACTAAAACGTCTGCTGAGGGGATGCAGCGTTTCAAACAAATCATTCAGACGTCGGTCTGCAGACTGTAGATGCCAGATGGTGCACCAAGATGCATTTTCTCTTTTATTTTGATACCTTGCTGTGTCACTTGTCAGTTCCAAAAGCAGAAAAACAATTATGCAGGCGAGTCTGAGTAGCTCCAGGTCCCCAGGAAAACATTGGCGCTAGTCAATCTAGATTTAAACCTCCTTGTTCACACTATCGTGTGTTTGACTGCAAAGCCCGTGTGATGAAGATTTTTGTCATCTTTACCCGGCCGCCGGGCTAAACTAGGGTGTGATTATCGTCTGTGTTGCTATGAGTGCCGGCCGGGGCAATAATGATGTTGGGGAGCAGCAGGTGAAGAAAACACCCGTTTAGATGGATGGTGTTCGAACTCTTTCCGTTTCGGCCGTCAGGATCACGGATGTCCTCAGAAGATCGGTTGTGGCAGAACATACCGATAAAACCACCCATTAACAAACCGTTAAAATATGAATAAATATTTAATAAGCACTGCTTAAAGTTAAATAGTACCGAACAGCTTTTCACATTGTTGTAATTTGGCTGCATACAGATAAAAACTGCTACATTTAATTATTTAAGCATATAACTGTTGCCTTGTGTGGAGTTTAGAGGGCCACATAAAAAGTTACGGTGGGCCGTATTCGGCCCCCTGGCCTGCAGTTTGATGCATGTGGTTAAGATGCATGAGCAGAAAAAGTGACGACGAAAGCTTCTCCGTTCTGACTGGATGCCTTTACATGACGGTAAAATTCTCTGCTTTGTGTGTGACAATTTCTAAAATTAAAAATCAGATTTGCCTGCTTTTGTTGTCGCAAATTGATCTTTCAAGAACTTCCTTGATTGTTTAATTTCCACAGTTGACTGATGTATATTCTAGTTAATGTTTTGTGACTAAAAAAAAAAAAACCCAACCAGTTCTGCTAGCGAGGTTGTGATGAACTCTGTGTTGAAGAGAGCAGCAGATGGCGGTTTTATGTCCTGATAGCATCTCCCCCAGAGCGCTCAGATTTGGAGACAAAATCCAAAGGACCTGTGGCATATTTTCAGACGGAGATAAACAAAACTGCAGGCTAACTACCTGTAGTATTCATTCAAATGAATGGCAGATGGTGAAGGGCAGATAGTGGAGCAGCTGAGAGGAGAGATTAGAAAAGTCCAGGTGGAGTTATTTAGGAATTAAACGCTTCAGTGTGGGAGACTGCCTGAAAGCACGAGAGCGTTGAAATGGCGTAAGACGAAAAACGACTTGACGGCAAGCAGCTTTTATCCTAAGCAGGCTGGTTTTACTTTAGCTTTTAGTTAGTTGTACAGAACATTTATTCCAAGTGAAAAATTAGACTTTTGTTACACCATTTTATGGTCCAGCGTGTTCAGGAGAGCATTTCTACTACAGGGTTTCCCACTGGTATTTAGAGAAAAAAACTGACTTTTCCATGACTCTCCATGGCCTTCAATATAATTTTCCATGACCCACGTACAGCATGTTCATAAAGAAATAGTACATGACTGAAAGACCTAACCCCACCAAGTTGAACTGTAGAGAACATGTATTGTACTGTGAATCCCCCCCCCCCCCTCTCTCGCTACAACACGGGGTTCCTGCAGATGGTTGACCTATCAGAATTAAGCATAAAAACATTTCATGCCTGTGGTGTGACACAGGTCACAAATTATTGTATTTTCTCACCTGCACCTGCTCATGTTTGTTGTCTTGCCGTATTTCTTTGACTTAACAAACAGAAAAGAAAGTCAGAATAGGGAAAACAGTCGTCTTTATAATCCTTTCAGAACCCCATCTTCTCCCCCTCACCTTTTGCCAAGTGGAGATACACAGATTAACCTGGCATTGTTCTCCACAGGATGCGACGTCGGCGCCGTAAATCAAGAAGACGAGCTCGAATTGGGAAAAGTGAGCAAATGAAGCCTTACTGGACTCTTCAGAAGAGGATGCAGACAGGAGGTGGGTGGGCGGAAAGCGGTTTGGAAGATTTCAGACGGCACCGAGAGTTTCTGTGGGGCAACTCGGCATGTGCATCAACATTGTGCGAGTCCGTGCAGGAAGCTGGTGGCTGTTTGGTGGTAGAGCGTGCGCGCTCAGCACGTGTGTGGGAGGACACAGAATGTGCGAGAACATTTCTGGATCGAGCTCGGAGAAAAGCAGCAAATAAGAAATACTAAGCTGTAAATAAAAACACGTCGAGAGGCTTCAGCCGTTCATCACTACTTGTTTTTTTTCTCTTTTAGTTTGTATCTCTCCCCACCACATGACCTTCACTGAGGAGTGATCCAGAAGTCTTGCAGCAGCATGATGTCATTTCTGAATAAAACATGCTGGAGAGGAGCAGCGGTTCTCCGTTGGGTGCGTGTTGTGCTGTCCAGATTAGTCTCGATGTCCGCAGTATCGTGGAGCGCAACGCGAAGCTCGACGTCAGCCGCTTAGGGCCATGGGGCCACTATCCCCTCGGTGGAGCTGGGTTTTTTTAGTAATGACTTCTATGTCATTATAATAACAAAAACTCACAATTTCGTTATTAAGTTGTGATTTGTTTTTACAATAATATATATTTGATGTATGCAGAAATCATTTTTATAGACAAAAAGAAATCACCGTTGTAATAATTGCCCAAGTCCTGCAGATTTCAGGGTCCTCCGACAGGATCCTTTAACTACTTTCTGCAAAATAGTTGATGGTTTCTTGTGGATGAACAAGAAATCAAAATGTTCAGTCTCATCCTTAATAGCATGTTTTTGACCCTGTGACCTATCCTGAGCAACTGTCATCCCACTAAACACTGTAGAGAAGCTTAAAGAAGTCACAACAAACGTCCTGGGTGTGACCTCATCAGAAGATCGGATTACACGCCACCGGCCCTGATTGGCTGGGGATTAGTCTGTCAGTGCCTGGGGGTGGCACATAGATATAGGGCTGGCAGAAAATTCAAAAACTCACACCCTCTTCCTCGCTACGAATGAGCAAGGAGGTTACAAAAGTGAACTAAAGTTATTTTTCATAACATTCGTTTTGTGTCTCTCACGGGAAAATCCTGACTCCAGACCCAAGACCGACTGCTTACAAAATAAGTCATTGACGGGTGCTTGATGCCAAGCTGAGCACTGACTGAGCCAGCGGTTGAGTTGCGGCACAGATCTCCTGGATGGAAATTCCTCTGAATTGGACCCACGAGGTGGTCAGTGCTCGTGCAGAGTGGGCACGAAGGCCCTCAGGACCCTGTTGTCCCTTAGAGGTGTAAGCTAAAGCAATTGCACCAACTATCCAATGTGAAAGTCACTGCTTTGACACACAAGGTGACCTTTTGCCTGAAAAACAAACGGCTACCTGGAGAGAAGGTCCGCTCCCCGGTTCGACACTCCTGGGACATGAGTGACCAGCTTGTGGACCAGCATATGCAGATGTTGGACCCCCTTGTCGGTTTATGTATGCCACCACAGTCGTGTTGTCTCTCTGGACTAATACATGGTGACCCTTCAGAAAAAGTTGGAAATGTTTCAGTGCCAGGAGAACAAGCATTTCCAGGCCATTTATAAGGAACGTATGTGTCTGTCCCATTCAATGATTTCCCCTTGAAGATGCACCGTGCAGCCTGGCAGGGAGGTAAAATACAAATCTGCTCTGTATAGGAACACCCTGAGTTAGGCAGTGTGCACTTCTCCAGGGACGTGGAGCTGCTCTGCAGGTGGCCGAGACCCTCACTCTGCCGGATATAAAAACCAAGAAACAAAACCATGCAGCATGCTTACTGCTTGCTCCTGTTGCTCGGTAGAGTTGGCGCTGCAGCACAGGTAGCTGCACAAAGTGCAGTCATGCTCAGTGCGACGCTTAGGATAAAATATTTATTTCTATTAACCAGACTACAAATTTTACTAAAGCAGTAATCAAAGTAGCAAGAGCAAAGATGAGAAACTGAAAATGGAGTAATTACACAAGAACATCGCAAATGCCCCCCCCACCCCTCCCTCTGCTTACACACCCGGGACACAGGAAGTGACACGTGAGAGCAGGCAGTGGTTAATTACTGTTGGCCCTCACCGCTGTCCCACCAGGCATCAGCCTCCGTCGCCTCTGATGCTAAAATAATTAATGCCGTCGCTGTCATCCCCGGTCCCTGTAGCCATGGCGATGAGAAGATTTTTTTTCCTGTCCCCCTCGCCCCTCCAGGGAACCCCTCAACCCCCACCACCCGCAGCGAAGCAGCAGTTGGCCAATGAGGAGAGTCACTCAGTGAGTGAGTGACTCTACGGTTCAGTAGTAATCTGAATGATTTAAGCAGCGGCTTCAAGCTGCAGGTAACAGCTGGCTCCAGTCAGGTTCGACTCTGTCACAGATTCATTTCCTCTACATCATCGCAGACATAATCCTGTCAAATAAGAACTAACTAAGCAAAAAAAAAAAGAGACAAATCTTACCATTGCCGTTTTTTTGTTTTTGTTTTTTTTTTGCACAAAAGCGCCTGAAAAATCACTTTGGTGTTTCACGCTTGCACAGAGGAATGTCAGAATTTGAAATGCATATAAATAAAAATCGCAAAATCTTTTTAGCAGATTGTTAAAGAGCTGGGCGCCAGGGGGAAACCAGGATCCACTGGACCTGCACAGGATCCCACATTTCTTCCTGAAACGGTGGGATGTGGAGAGATGGGAGGGAAGTGATGTCAGAGGTTTCTAACAGTAACACCACTTTTGTTTTGGAGGTTGTAGATTTACATCACATTATAATTATAATGGCAACTCATCAAAAACATACATGGAGTGTTCCCTTGATTCTGTCATGCATGTTTGAGAAATCCTTTAATCTCCCATGGCAACCATTCAGCTGTTGCAAAACGCTTGGTGAGACCTAGCTCCGCCTTCAAGGCGAAGCTCCTCCTCTGAGCTGCAGTTTCCAAGCAGCCCTCCCCCACTCAGCTCCTTCAGACTAGCCAGCAGCAATTAGCAAACACCTGGTGGAGCTGAGCATCTGCTTAGCTCATTATAGGAGCTACTTCTCAGTGTGACACTGGTAGTAAAAGATTAGTTTCTTAAAGAGACAGAGGCTCAATTTCAAAGCGTTTAATTTTGAAGTCAAATTTCTTTTTAGGTCATATAGCATTTTTATAAAATTTGAAGGTAACATATTTACTTGACTGTGCTGTAAAATGGCACTACGTGCCTGGAAAATGCGTAATTCTGCCTCATTAAGTGACTGAAGGTTTTGTTGTCAACCTTTTTCGAAGTCTCCACCAAACAACAGTACATGCCTCCAAAGTTATTTTTCCTTGAGTGAATTTCCAAACATTTCTCTGTTTGTTGGTTGTATTTGGGGCAGTGGAGCGGTCCTTTAGCCTGTTGGGGCAGAATCCGTTTCACTGTGGATAATGACACTTTTCTACTTTGCTTCTGCCAACACATCTTCGTAAGGCATATTGCTTTTTACACAGGAATTGATTTTCACATTTTTCACCAAAACGTCTTTGTGACACGGAATCCAATCCTTTCATGCATGTCATCATGGCTGGATGGTCTCTTGGTGTTTCTACCTGTGCATAACTTTTGGAGCATTCCCCTGTTAGAGGCACACGTTTACCCAAAGTAACACATTTTGGCAATCCTGTCTGACCTGAAAATGTTTAGCCTGACTTCAGTTGTATGTGCAGCACTGTAAAAGACAAAACAAAACAAAACAAAAAAAAAAAACAGAATTCAATTCACAAGGTAGAGCACACATTCAACAATGTTTGAGTGCGAAGTGACATGAGCGCATCGGTACTTCAACAATTTTATCTGCTGCCGTTGAACCTGAAATGCTGAGACACCCAGAAGCAGGAGCAGCACATCCATCCTGGTTGGAAACCCTAGATTTTATTCAGTTCTTTCTTTATATGCAATACTTCAGACTGAAAAAAAATAAATAAAAATACCGTAATCTGTTCTTGCAAAGAAAAGTCAGCACCTTAATATTTTCGAGGGAAGCAAGAAAAGGCTTTAAAGACGAATTTGAGCTACGGTGTCATTTCTGGAGAAAACATTCTGTTGAGGCATCTTTAGTCTCACGAGTCACATAAGCAGCAGTTGTTCTGTCAGTGATAATCTTACACCATTTCAAGGCGGATTGATTTTTACTTTTACTCTCCACAGCAATCTTCCCTACACACTCTCTCTCTCTCTCTCTCTCTCTCTCTCTCTCCCCCCATGTCTGTTTCCTTCTCCCTTCTTTGCTTTCATATCTGCCAGCTGCCACAACTTTTACGGGCTGTTCAGAAACAATTACGTGAACAAACAGTTTGTGACATTTCACTTGAAAATAGAGGCAAACATTAAGCGTGTGTGTGTACGTATTTCGGTGTAGCTCAGATGTCCTGTGGTCCTCGGTTTCTTTTAGACCCTGTAATCCATTTAAATCAGCTCTGGTAATCCTACTTTTGTCTCACAGCTGCGGTGGATTCATGCAGGTACAAACAAGCAATCCTGCCACTGTGCACACTTCCACACACAGCTGCAGTTCTTGCAGCTTTCAAATAGCTTTTTGTCAGACTTCCTGGAAAAAAAAGCATCTTTATTGCTTCAAAAGACACAGAGCCTTGGGGAAATTATTCACAACCCTTGGACTGTTTTTCTAATTTTTGTGACATTAGACATTAACATCATTTTTCTTTATTTTAATGCATCCTGGTAGAAAAATACAGTGTAACATTTGTTAAATGGCTCAATAATGTCGCACTAGAACCAGGATGTGTTGGACACAGTCAACAGGATTCCAGCAGTGTAGCAAGGGAGCTTCTCTTCTTTTTATTTATGTAGACAACAAATAAAACTGTACAAGTTGGCATCACGAAAATGCCAACTTAATGTAATGTAATATAAATAGTTTAAATAAAATTCAAAACTATAATACAAAACTCAAAGTTCCTGCTTCATTTAACTGACAAGCAGACAATATTACTGTATTTTCTGCACTATAAGGTGCACCTTCAATGAATGGCCTATTTTAAAACTTTTTTCATATATAATGTGCATAGAGGAGACGCTACAGTTAGGGTTGCCACCCGTCCCTTTGCCACGGAAAGGCAGCAGTCTGAAGCCCTTTCTGTTTTGGATTTTTAATGACATAGATTAGATAAAACTAAAAACACCCAACTATTTTTTTTTCTTAATTAAATGCATTTTGTGGCCCACCAGTAATTTAAATTGGCTGGTTTTAGCTCCCAAGGCAAACATTTTGGATATCGTAGATAAAAGCAACACAAAAATTACTTATTTTCTTTAAAAAAAAAAGACCAGATTTGATGAATGCCTGAGCAATATGTGGTGTTTCATATTTATTGTGACTGCATTGTCTTCCATTAACAGCAT